GAATAGAATAGAATAGAATAGAATAGAATAGAATAGAATAGAATAGAATAGAATAGAATAGAATAGAATAGAATAGAATAGAAATCCCCTTCTAGCACTGATAATGTTGCCTAGCAGGGTAATGAAACATCTGCAACTAAACAACCAAGCTCAGCACTGAAGACCCCTCATTTAAACCCTAAGATACAAAGAGTAGAGTAGAATAGAATACAATAGAATACAATAGAATATAGAGAACTAGAATAGAATAAAACAGAAATCCCCTTCTAGCACTGATAATGTTGCCTAGCAGAGTAATGAAACATCTGCAGCTAAACAACCAAGTTTAGAGAGAACCTAAGACCCCTCATTTAAACTCTAAGATACAAAGAGTAGAATAGAATAGAATATAGAATACAATAGAATAGAATAGAATAGAATTCTTCATTGGCCAAGTGTGATTGGACACACAAGGAATTTGTCTTTGGTGCATACGCTCTCAGTGTACATAAAAGAAAAAGAAAATACATTCATCAAGAATCATAAGATACAACATGTAGGGATAGTCATAGGTTACTAAATAAGCAATCAAATCGTACTAGGAGACAAACAAAACAATATAAATCGTAGAGATACAAGCCACAAGGTTATAGTCATAAATTAGGTTTTAATTCTAATTTAATTTTAACTTGTTAGTCTTAATTGTACTTTTAACTGTTAAATTATGAGATTTGGATTTAATTTTTTAACTTTTTATTAGATGCTTCTTAACTGTTGTGAGCCACCCTGAGTCCGGCTGGAGATAGGGCGGCATTTAAATCTCATTAATAAATAATAATAAATAATAAATAAATAAATAAATAAATAGTTAATAGGAAGGGTGAGAAGAATAAGGCGGAAGTTTATCTGCGAAGTGAATCTCCCCAATCCCACTTCCTCCAATTAGAGATCCAGCAGCTGGGCTGAGACTCGACACCGTATGCGGTGCGCTTGCTTATGTTGTGTTTGTACCTGCTGTATAAACTTGTCCTTGTGCTCTTGCAAGTTGCAATTATGTTGTGGCTTCTTCTAGAAACCATGACCTATTCAAAGCAGAGCTTAATAAAATGCAAACCCAGTCTTGGAAACTGCAGCATCAATGGTTCTTAAGACAGCAGGCAATGGAAGCACGAAGGTCTCTAAATTAACCTTGAAGTATCTCGCCCACGTGACTGGGTTGTTGGCAAGGAGAATTCTTCCTCCTAAAGGCTTCCTTAAATCTGAATTGCGTGGAAGTTCATTTTACAAAATTAATGCTGGTGCACATTGTCACACCCAGGGATTAAATCTGGCATTGCATACAGTGCATTACCAAGCCTCAGGAAAAAAAAAAAAGTTCTGCTCTTTATTCTTATTGAAAATATCCCAAAATTTACAGTATATGTCAAAATATTCAGCTGCTTCAGAGTCTTAAGACATGTTGAAAAGTTTAGATGTCAAAGTTTGCACAATTTGCTGGTATATTTCGCAAGCCACTGTAATGGATGAACGATACTTCTGGCAGCTAATTAATACAGTGATTTCAGTATCCTTCCATTGATTCAAATGTAGCTCTAAACCAGGGGTGTCAAATTGGCAGCCCGTGGACCAGATGGTGGCTACGTGCAAGGCCACGCCCACCCCAGCTCCGCGAAGGGAAGAACGTCCCATGTAGGCTACGTGACATGGCGAGTTTGACGCCCATGTTCTAAACCAGTGTTTCTCAACCTTGGAAGCTTGACGATGGGTGGACTTCAACTCCCAGAATCTGGGAGTTGAAGTTCACCCATCTTCAAGCTACCAAGGTTGAGAAACACTGCTCTAAACCATTCTGTAAGCTAAACGTAGTCCTGCTTTTAACAGTTGTTGGTAGAGAATATTGAGACTTTAACCGGGTCCTGGAGTCTTCTGGGTACCTGTCTTCTCTCTTCTTAAGAAAAAAAATGTATGACTTGATCCTCAAAATAGTGGGAGTTACATGCTACAGGTTTTTTTTCTCTCTCTCTTGCAGATGCCCCGTCACTGCTCTGCTACTGGCTGTTGCACTCGTGATACACCTGAAACCCGCAACCGAGGCGTTTCGTTCCATCGGTGAGAAATGTTTTTATTCTCTGCCCTTGCAGACTCCTATTTCGGTACGAAGCTGAAAGTTGGTAGGATTAGTCTTGTTAAAATTGCAGCTTCATACGATATCTCACCACAGTGGTGAAATCCATTTTTTTAACTTCTGTGGGTGTGGCTTGGTGGGCGTGGCAGGGGAAGGATCCTGCAAAATCCTCATTCCCTCCCCACTCCAGGAGAAGGATACTACAAAAATCCCCATTCCCTCCCCACTCCGGGGGGGAAGGATCCTGCAAAATCCCCATTTCCTCCCCACTCCTGGGGGGAAGGATATTGCAAATTCCCCATTCCCTTCCCACTCCGGGGGAAGGATACTACAAAATCCCCATTCCCTCCACACTCTGGGGGAAGGATCCTGCAAAATCCCCATTCCCTCCCCACTCCGGGGCAAGGATGCTGCAAAATCCCCATTCCCTCCCCACTCTTGGGGGGAAGGATATTGCAAAAACCCCATTCCCACCCCACTCTGGGGCCAGCCAGAGGTGGAATTTGCCAGTTCTCCAAACTACTCAAAATTTCCGCTACTGGATCTCCAGAACCTGCTGGATTTCACCCCGTCTCACCATCATAAAATCAAGCTTTGTAGGATCAGTGATTTTAAAGAATGAATATTTTGTAAGAAGTTTTTTGGACTGTTGCCTTCTGGCAGAAGATACTGAACAATTAAAACTCGGACCACGCATTTTCTGAATAGTTTTTATCCCAGAGCTATAATTGCATTCAACCATGAACTAAAGGGCCACCATAAGTGAGATGTTGGACAGCATTACGTGGTCTGTTGTGTGGATGTTTGGGTGGTTTAGGGATGGGGAATTTGTGGTGGTGGTGGGGGGGTGTTTTGAGATTGTTATGTGCGTTGGGCCTGGTCTTTGGGTGTTAAGTGAATTTCATTGTATAGGTATACTGTGTATACACGTACAATGACAATAAAATTATTATTATTATTATAACTTACACTGCCCTGCTGGATCAGACCCCAGGCCCACCAATTATACAAGAAAACCCACTAGTCTCCCAGTAGATGGCCTTCAGAGGTAGCCACACTGCCATCAAAGAGCCTTGGTAGTACAGTGGTCTAAGGCACCCTGTTATTAAGCTGGTTATTAACACAGCTGCCTGCAATTACTGCAGGTTCAAATCTCACCAGGCTCAAGGTTGACTCAGCCTTCCACCCTTTCTAAGGTAGATAAATTGAGGACCCAGTTTGTGGGGGCAATAAGCTGACTTTGTATAAATATACAAAAGTATGAAGGCTATTGCTTAACGCATTGTAAGCCGCCCTGAGTCTCCGGAGAAGGGCGGCATATAAATCAAATTAAAAAAAAAAAAAGCTATTTTACTCGAGCTTGGGAAAAAAGATATGCATAATCTTGCAGGTGACCTCTGATCTCCCATGAGTTAATCACTTAATATCTCTCCTCACAGATTGCCCAAGGACAATCCACGGCGAACCACATGGTTGGAGAATTGTCAGCGGAAAGACATGAGTGGGCAGGGTCTCTGGGACCCTGCCTCTAAATATGTTTATTTTTGCTCCAAGCACTTTGAGAAGAATTGCTTCGAACTAGTGGGCACCAGGTAGGTCATTCGAATATTTGAAAAACATGAAAGAGGATGCAGAATTAAAGTACGGTAGACAGTTTTCAGCAGGACAGTAATGTGCATCAATATAGGCAATATCCTTCCGATGGAGAGAAATGGTCCTTCCAGTATGCCTGTTCCATCTGACCTTCGTTATTAAAACACTATGAATATGGGGAACAACTCACTCAAAAACCTTTTTTTAAAAAGAAGTAAAAGTCTGGAGCGTGTAACCCAGTGCTTTCTCTAGAAATGCTTCCCTACCTTACTTCCTGGAGAAAAGACAGGGTGGGAGTGGCTGTTGAGTTTCAATCTCATCAGCTTTCTGACAAATTTGTGAAAACAGGCACAGCATGATATGACCATTCTAAGGAGTTCCCATGTAACACCTCTCCTGCGCGAGCTGCACTGGCTCCCGGTGGTCTTCCGAGTGCGCTTCAAGGTTTTGGTTATCACCTTTAAAGCGCTCCATGGCTTAGGACCTGGTTATCTACGGGACTGCCTGCTACCACCAATAGCCTCCCACCGGCCAGTACGCTCCCATAGAGAGGGGTTCCTCCGGGTGCCGTCGGCCAAACAATGTCGACTGGCGGCCCCTAGGGGGAGAGCCTTCTCTGTGGGGGCACCTACGATCTGGAACGAGCTCCCCCCGGAGATACGGAGGATCCCGGATCTGTGCACCTTCCGTCGCGCGCTTAAGACTTCTTTATTTCATCAAGCTGGCCTGGCCTAAATCTTCTCCCCCTTTTTAAATGTAAATTTTAATTTGTTTTTAAATTATGGGGTATTTTAAATTCAGCCAAATTATTTGATTCGTTTTTAATCTATTTTAAATTTTTGTATTTATGTGTTTTATCTTGTGGCTGTTCACCGCCCTGAGTCCTTCAGGAGAAGGGCGGTATAGAAATTTAATAAAATAAATAAATGAAGGTGTGCACACACTCAAATGATTTACCTTGAGATGCCTTTTAAAGCTGAAAAGTTAAAACAGTCTCATTCAAGTCAAGTTCAGCCTCTGGTGATTTTTTTTATAGGCACATCCGTGTAATTTTCTTGGCAGCGGTTTGAAAATAGCAATAGCACGTAGACTTATCTACTGCTTCACAGCCCCCTCTAAGCTGTTTTATAGAATCAGCCTATTGCCCCCGACAATCTGGCTCCTCATTTTACCCACCTCGGAAGGACAAAAGGATGAGTCAACCTTGAGCCTCGTGAGATTTGAACTGCCAAATTGAAGGCAGCCGGCAGTCAGCAGCAGTGGCCTGCAATACTGCACTCTAACCACTGCGCCACCGTGGCTCTTAAAATGGTTTACCATTGCCCTTTCTAGGGTTTGTTTTAATTTCTATAAACCTACATGCGCTCCCAGGTTTCTCTTATGATCTCTTGCTCACATATTCACAGCCCTGGTTAACAACTACACCCCAAGTGAATTTAGTGTGACAGCAAATATTATTTTTATCCCATCTTTTATTATTTTTATATATAATTCAAGGTAGAAAACTTTCCCATACCTTCCTCCTCCTATTTTCCTCACAGTAGCCCTGTGAGTTGGGTTGGGATGAAAGAGTGACTGACCCAAATCACCGAGTCGTGGTGGCGCAGTGGTCAAAGTGCAGTACTGCAGGCTACTTCTGCCGACTGCTGATTGCCAGCAGTTTGGCAGTTCAAATCTCACCAGGCTCAAGGTTGACTAGCCTTCCGTCCTTCCGAGGTAGATAAAATGAGGACCCAGATTGTTGGGGGCAAGAGGCTGACTCTGTAAACCACTTAGAGAGGGCTGTAAAAGCACGGTGAAGTGGTATAAGCGCTATTGCATCAAAAACAGGACTAGAACTCACTTCTTCCTTTCTTGCACACACTCACATTCTCCTTCACTTACCCACGTCCTTCTTTACTATGATCTGCCAGGCACTAGCTAGAGAGGCAGAAGTTGCTAAGTCTGCTTCCAAAGATGACTCAAAGGGATAGTGGACTTCAGGGCCTAAAAGTCCTTGCTTTATGGATTTACAATACTGGCGGCAATTCTCGCCTTGTTGATTTTCACCTCTGGTAGCTATTGAGAGGATTTGAGGAGAAGCTTCCCATGTTCTCAGGCCCAAGTTCTTTCTTTTTTTTTTTTTTTTGTTTAGGTGACATGTTTTTCTTTATTTCTTTAAGGACTTGGCTCTTTCTTATCTATCTTCCAAAGGATTTTTTTTTTTTTTAAACAAGATCCATGGCTTTTCGTCTGTTTGTTTCTATGCCTGCTTTATCTTTAGGTATGGCATCTAGTGTCACATTAGTACTAACCAGACTTAAACCTGCTGAGCTTCCAGATCCAGAAAAGGTGAGAGGCATGTTTCTACCTGCTAAGATAGCAGAGAGTAAGGCTAAGGAAGGGAAGTCAAAGTGACTCGAAAGATTCTGAAAATTTAGAATGTGATTTCCAGTCAGAAATCAAGGGTTTTTTTCTTTCCTAGAATGTCAGATTTTTTAAAAATTTTATTTATATGCTGCCCTTCTCCGAAGACTCAGGGCGGCTTACAATGCGTTAAGCAATAGCCTTCGTACTTTTGTATATTTATACAAAGTCAGCTTATTGCCCCCACAATCTGGGTCCTCATTTTATCTACCTTAGAAAGGATGGAAGGCTGAGTCAACCTTGAGCCTGGTGAGATTTGAACCTGCAGTAATTGCAGGCAGCTGATGTTAATAACAGTGCTTTAGTCTGCTGCGCTACCAGGGCTCCTGGTAACGCAGATTCTTAGGGTGACCAATTACAGACTTCTTTATAACACTAAAAGTGAACTCTTCTCTTGCCCTCCCCACCAAAAAAAAAAAACAACGCTGGTAAATCCATTTTAAAAAGTAAGTGTGAGTGAAATCTTGAAAGGATCTTGGCTAGTTATATTAGATCAGGGGTGTCAAACTGGATTTCTACAAGGGCCGGATCAATATTGTAGTTCTCCACGGGCCAGAGGGGACGGGGGGAGATGGGACAGCTGCCTCCTGCAACTCCCTGCCAGCCAAAACGGGGCGTGGGGAGGGGGTCCGCGTGCAGCCCCCATAGGCCTCGTATTCATCCTCCATGGCCTCCTGCAGCACTCTGCCGGCCAAAAATTGGCCACACGCAGCCCCATTTTCTAGGCTGTTTTTGGCTCTGTTTTTTGGGTCCGTTTTTGGGCTTTTGGCCTGTTTTGTGGGACATTTTTGGGCCGTTTTCGGCCGGCCGAGTGCTGTAGGACACCATGGAGAGTGAAAATGAGGCGCAGGGGGACGCATGTGGCCTATTTTAGCTGCCAGAAGCACCACGGGTCAGTCCTTTAATATTTCCAGGCTGGCCCTTGAGTTTGGCACCCCTATACTAGATAGTATTGCTAAAACAGATCATATATTTAACCTGATCATAACTTAATTTGACATCATTTCATTACAAGATTTCTGGGTTGTAGATACCAAACAGAATTAGGAAAGGAAAGGGCTAAATATATGTGGCCAAAATTAATTACTTTGTTTAATACGTCTGTACATAGAAAAAGCTGGAGAAATAATACTCCAAATAGAATGTAACTTAGCTAATTCCAAAGCCCTCAGAAAATCTGCCTTCTCCTCCAGCGATGCAGAGTCCAGATTTTCGGGGTAACAACTTTGATATGTGGGGGTTGTTTCCTTTGTAGCGGCTATCATCGTCTCAAGGAAGGGGCTGTTCCTACGATATTTGAGCCTCATGCAAAACCACGGCGGAAGTCTAAACTAAACAGTTCCAAACTTGCAAAGTATCAACAGAAGCAGAGGTAAGTCCCACTCTTCTGACCTCATGTTCTCTGTAACCCTATGCATATTTACCGTATTTTTCAGAGTATAAGACGCACCTAAGCTTTTTTTTTGGTGGGGGGGGGATCTGCCTCTGCCTCCCAGCAATTTGCCTCCTTGCAGCAAACAGCTTGGTCAGCTTCAGCACAGCCTGATTTAGCACAAGCAGCTGATTGGCGGTTGGATCGGCCTCCCGGAATACCAACGATCAGTTGTTCAAGGGCTACAGGGATCACTGTCGCCTATCAACACTTTCACGCGCCCCATTTTCAGCCCATTCTAGGTGGGCATCCCCACTGCCCCCCTTTCGCCACCAAACAGGACGCATGGAAAATGGGGCACGCGGAAGCGGCAATAGGCAACAACGATACCTGCAGCCTGGAACAGCTGATCGTTGGTATTCCGGGAAGCTGATCCAACCGCCAATCAACTGCTCGTGCTAAATCAGGCTGTGCTGAAGCTGACCAGGCTGTTGGCTGTTTGCTGCAAGGAGGCAAATTGCTAGGAGGCAGAGGCCGAAGGGTGGGGGCTGGCAAGTGGGCGGGGCTTTGGCAACATTCGCTCTACAAGACGCACAGACATTTCCACCCACTTTTGGGGAGAGAGGGGGACGTGTGTCTTATAGTCTGAAAAATACGGTATTTAGAAGTAGGTCACAGTACATTCAGTGATGCTTACTTCTTGATAAAACGGTAAAAAGCATAATCTGTTCAGCCATTAATAGATTAATATATTAGTAAGTTTAAAAGGAATTTTATGTATACCAGAATGGAATGGTGGAATCTGAGATTGGAACCAGAGAGAAAAAAATATGATTTAAGTTAAGAATATTAAAAATGTGAAAACCATCAGTCCTGGAATATAATTTAGTGGCTGTTCTGTCCCCGTCCCATACATGCACACCAACAGACGTCCAAGAGTTAAAAACCAAACCAGCCAACAAGAAACTCCCTTTTGATAACGGAACTTGGCAGCAATCTAGTGGCTGCCTGCCAAGAGTCTTACTTACGAAGGGAGGAGAGAACTTCTCTCCGCTTTTGTACATCAAAGTAAATGTTCAATAAGTACAGGGTAAATTAAGTCCAGTTCACAAATGTAGTCCAGCAAAGCCTATAGCAAAAGTCCGGCAATGCAGAATGGCGTGGAAGCTTTCAGCTTTGTTCGTCACAAGGTTTGACTGGCCACCACGCTCCCTTTTATCCCCTGTGGAGTGTGGTCCAGTGACTCAGCTTAATCTCTGGCACGCCTCCTCTTCTGCTGCGTGCACCTGTCTCTCCGACGCTGGTGTGGATCCAGCCAAGACTTATCTTCGTCACTGTCCGACTGCGACTGCTCGGTGATACCTGGCTCCTGGCCAATCTCTTCTCCTTCAGGAGACACCTGAGGCATTGCCAGAGATGAGGGTCCTGGAGAGGGAGGCCCGGCCAACTCCTCTCCTTCCCTTTCGGAGCCTTCTTCCTCCGATAAGACGGGCTCGGGGGTCAGAGCCACAACAGTGGCTTAATTGAATCATCTTTTTCTTCTTTTTGCTATACGTATCCACATCACCTTATAGTAGTATGTTACAAGAGATAACTCAGGGCTGCCTAGAAAATGCCATGTTTCCCATGCCCAAGCTTCACTCCATATTGGCTCCTTATAGCAGGGGTGTCAAACTGGATTTCTTTGCGGGCCGGATCAGCATTGTAGTTCTCCTCCACGAGCCAGAGGGGGTGGTGGGGAGACCAGACAGCTGCCTCCTGCAGAATCCTGCTGGCCAAAATGCAGCACTGGAGGTCCACGCACAACTTCCATGCGCCTTGTTTTCGTCCTCCATGGCCTCCTTCAGCACTCTGCTGGCTGAAAACAGGCCCTGTTTTAGGCCCATTTTCTGGGAGGTTTTCAGCCCATCTTTGCCCGTTTTTGGGCAGCTGAGTGCTGCAAGAGGCCATAGAAAGTGAAAACGAGGCGCGGGGGGCGCACATGGCCAGATTGAAGCTCTTGAGTTTGACACACCTGTACTAGATAGTATTGCCCATTTTCAGGCCCATTTTCAGCCGGCAGAATGCTGCAGGAGGCCATGGAGAGTGAAAACAAGGTGAGGGAAGTGGGCGGCTGGTCCTTTAATATTTGTAGCCCGGCCCCATGGACCAGATTTAAGCATCCCCTTGAGTTTGACACCCCTGACCTATAGGAAGAATATGTTCTACATAGGCATCCTGCATCTGTAATCACGTTTTCCTCTGCTGGTTTACTCTGCGTCGCACCTTACGTAGGTAGCTGTTAACTTCTCACCTGACCTCGATTCTATCCCTTTTTCACAGCTGCGGCTGCTACAATGCGGAGGAGACAACAACTCCATTGTGCATGGATGTCTCTTGCTTCCCCGTGCAAGAGCTGCCAAGTCCTGGGGCCGCTCCCACTACTGGTGAGCTTCGAAGCCAGCCTGATCTCCCAGGGTCAGAACCAGAGAATTTGGCCACTTTGTCAGACATACCCCTGGAACAATTACCAGCTGCCACTGGCCAAGAAGAGGCCTCGCCATCTCCAGCTCTCCCAGAACCTGTAGAACCATCTCAACCCGTTTCTCTCTCCCTCTACATGCTACGACTCCCACCCCCAGCTGGTGCCTACATCCAAAATGAGCACAGCTACCAGGTGGGTAGCGCCTTGCTCTGGAAGAGGCGGGCCGAGGCAGCACTGGATGCTCTGGGGAAAACACAGCGGCAGCTGCAAGCTTGCCGGCGTCGCGAACAGAGACTCCGCCTGCGCATCTGTGAGTTGCAGCGCGAACGGCGGCCCCACAGTGCCGACGCGCACCGGCGGTTTAAGGAACACCTGCAGGTCTTCGAATTGCAGCTGCTGAATGACATTGAATGACTGGAATCGGCCCAAACTTAACCTTTGCTTTGCGCGGTGGTGGCGTTGCAAACTTGGGCTCTCGTATTTCCCATCTCCAAGGTTATGATTGTTGTAGCAAAATGTGGGGCTCTACAAACTTGGAATCCGCTTCGTGCAACCCTGTTTCCCCTTCACGGTTCATGCTTATATTCGTAAAGGAATATTTCTTTCGTATAAAGTGGATGTCCCAGCTCAGTTGAAAGATAACCCGATTGCTGGAGGACAGACGTTCAGGAAAGACCGTTATTTTGAGGATTTCATTACGGTGCTGCCCTAGAGGGGGTCATACTATTTCTTTTTTTTTTCTTTTTTTTTAAAAAGCTGCTTGACATATTGAATTTAGAGCTTGTCATGGTTGCCCCAATAGAAGAAAAATCTTTTTGATGCTTTAAGTCAGGGGAGGGCAACTGTGGCCCTTTTACAACCTGTGGACTTCAACTCCCAGAATTCTGGGAGTTGAAGTCCACAGGTTGTAAAAGGGCCACAGTTGCCCACTCCTGCTTTTAAGTTATAAGGCTGTATGATATGAAAAATTTACAAAGTATTATATTATCACACAAAAAAAACCTTTTTCCTAGCGTATTCCCGCAGGTGCAGGGTCCGCTTATTATCACAAAAAAACCCCAAAAACTCCCCACCAAAAACTCAACAAAATCAATATATTTGCATGTATCATATTGCCAGACAAATATGGTAATGATTTAAATCTGAATTACCTAAAGAGAAAAATTAGCTCTGTATTCTTGGTTCTCTAAGGAATAATTTTGGAGAAGACATTTAGCTGTTTCAGTATGTAAGCTGCTAGGACACGAATTTAGACATCGCTTTGAAGCAAAGCTAATTGCTGAAGCTCAAGAGAAGCGTAATCCAAATGTGGAATTTCAGGAGAATACTTTTAATGCTGAAATAATGAAGAGAAACTTTTGGTTCACAAATTATGTCAACCCTGTATCGTTTTTGAGTAAGAACTTTTCTAGACGTGCTCCTCGCATAATACTTTTCAGAATATTTTACTCACTACACAAGACGTTTTGGATTCTCATTCCGTTTTGTAATTAGAAAGCTACTTGCATGCAAGAATCTCTTGCTGGATCAAGGGACGGATCTTCAGCTCTAAGTAAAATCACTTTAATATAATTTTATTAAGAAGTTTGATTACAATAGTAGTAATAAGTAAAATCATTTCTGTGGCTTAACGTACAGGTAGTCCTCAAGTTACAACCACAATTGAGTTGCTAAGGGGAAAACATTTGTTAAATGAGCTTTTTTCCCATTTTACGACTTTTCTTGCCACAGCTGTTAAGTGAACCATTGCGTTTGTTAAAACTAGTAACATGGTTGTTAAGTGAATCTGGCCTCCCCCATTGACTTTGCTTGACAGAAGGTCGCAAAAAGAGATCACACGACCTCAGGACATAGCAACCGTCATAAATACGAAACAGTTGCCAACCGTTGGGATTTTGATCATGTGACCACGGGGGATGCTGCGGCAGTTGTAAGTGTGAAAAACGGTCGTAAGTCACTTTTTCCAGTGCCGCTGTAACTTTGAAAGGTCACTAAGTGAACTGTTGTAAGTTGGGGACTACCTGTACTGAGATCAGCCAAGGTTCTGCCATCTCAAGCGACCCATCAATATTCTTTCAAACCTATAGGAGATGTTTCCAAATGTGGCCTCATAAATGCCTCTCTTTGATTAGCTTTTTCCTTTTTAAAAGCAACAGCGAAGCCATTTTTCTTACGAAGGGAAAATTGAACATGGAGAATTCTACTCAGTCGTATGCTTATAATCTTGTTGAAGAATTGCATAGGAAAAATTGTGGGGACTTATAATTTGTAGACTTCAATGTACTAATATTTAATACAATAAAACAAACTGAACATTGGGAGCATCTTCGTTTCAGCTAATATGCATAATAATTTTCTTTTGGGGAAGTTTTACTTTGCATAAAGCTCCCCAAATGAGCGGTAGTGTTCGAAATTATTTCCAATCAAGGGAACCTTAACAGAATTTTTGACACGATCTCCCCCCCCAATTATGAAGCTACCTATTTTTATTTTTTTTTAGGCCTGTGCAAAAAGAAGCGTATAGCCTCCTAGATATTGAATTTGCTACCAATTATTACAAACGGCAAGGGACACTTGCAGTATAGCTATTATGTAGAAAATCATAAACTAAACTCTGCTTTTCGCTGCCATAGAAAGCGACCTTATCAACCAGAGGAAATGCTGTGCTTGGGAAACACCACTGACGCAAAGGCAAAATCAGTTACGGTAGTAAATGTTCTTACATAAAAAAAGTTCCCAGAAAAAAGCAAAGTTAAATACATACCAGGTCTTAATCTAGAGCAGAGGTGTCAAACTCGAGGCCCAGGGACCGGATCCAGCTGGCGGGATGCTTGGATATGCCCTCCGGGGCCGCCCTGGAAATAGCGAAGGACCCGAGCTCCAGTTTCACCTGTCGCGGCCGCCTGCAACCCTCTGCCAGTGAAAATGGAGCTCGGGAGCCCGTTTTCGCTAGCAGAGCGCTCAGGCCACCACAGGCGCCCCCAACATGAGTGACGTTGAACTGGCCACGCCCATCCCAGCCCCGCTAGGTCAAACACAACCCTGATGCGCTGTGGTGGGTTGCTCCTGGTTCTTTAGAACCGGTAGTAAAAACGGCGGGAAGCTCCGCCCGGACGTCATAATTGACGATATGCACAGAAGCTCCCATCGCGAACCGGTAGTAAAGGTAAGTAGAACCCACCCCTGCTGATGCGGCTCTCAATGAAATCGAGTTTGACACCCCTGATCCCGAAGAGTAGTCAAACCCAGGAAAGAAGACAATTGGTTTTGCAGTGGATAATCCTCACACAGGATAAAGACATTATTTTCAGGGGTGAATTGTTTCTCAAAGGCTTCATGTATCTGCCCTAAGTAGCTAGACCAGGGGTCAGCAACTATGGCTCTGGAGCCGCATGTGGCTCTTTCACCCCTCTGCTGCAGCTCCCTGTCACTCAAAATATGCGTCACAACCGCCAATGTGCGACACCCGCCGGCACGCGATTTATTGAGCTTTTCAACCCCCGGTAGGCCAACCATGGATAAATCCAAGAAAAGAAAAGTTTCAGAAGAAAACAGAACGTTTAATTCAACTACATATGCTAGTTTTGTGGCCGCTCAAGAAATAGTCAAGGCACGGGAAGGGTTTTGTGGCTCCCGGTGTTTTCTCTTCTGTGGGAAACGGGTCCAAATGGCTCTTTGAGTGTTTAAGGTCGCAGACCCCTGAGCTAGACTATTGGTTCAGTTCATATGCGAAGTCTGTTCAGGAGTTCGTTTCATTTCTCCATCGTTTTAGAAAAAGTACAAAATATAAGTACCAAGATACACAATAGCTACAAAATAAATCTGTAACAAATATGATAAAAACTAGAAAAAATAGATGGTTGATATGGTAAGTCTGCTCGGGAGCTAAAACAATTTCTGTGTTCAAAAGATACGGGCGGCTGGAATAAGGAATGTGATGGAGAGGCCTCATACAGAACAAGATCAGATCCTTTCAGCAAAGCAAGATTAACTTATTAACTTATTAACATTTCCAGAACTTTTAAAAGAAAAGCTTTTTTTTTTTTAATACATCTGGAGTGGAGTAGATTCCATCAATGGTTAGAAACACGAGGTAGAAGTTGGAATGCAAAAGAATCCAGTTAGATGGACATGAAAAGAGGTATTATTTTTAATATCAATACAGGAATGTAAGTATTAGAATGGCATACTAGAACCGTAATGGCAAACCTATGGCACGCGTGCCACAGGTGGCACACGGAGCCATATCTGTGGTCACATGAGCATTGCCCTAACTCAGCTCCAGCGTGCATGGGCGCACCGGCCAGCTGATTTTCGGGCCTTCCGGGTCCACTGGAAGTCAGGAAACGAGCCATTTCCGGCATCTGGAAGTCCTCCTGAGGGGTGGGGAAGGCTGTTTTTGCCCTCCCCAGGCTTCTAGAAAGCCTTTGGAGCCTGGGGAGGGCAAAAAATGGGCCTACTGGGCCCACCAGTAACCTTTTTGCCGTAGTGTGCCAAAAGCGGGAGGAGAACAGGGGGGTCGCATGCCCATGAGCGGGGAGGGGGCATTAAATTATGAGTGTGGGCACTCACGCACGCTCCCCCCACGCTCCCTCTGCTTTTGGCACACGACGGCAAAAAGGTTAGCCATCACTGTACTAGAATATGATGGTCAGAAACTATTGTACAACACCAGCACTGTTTAAAAGGTCCCAGTTTGTGGGGGCAATAAGCTGACTTTGTATAAATATACAAAAATATGAAGGCTATTGCTTAACGCATTGTAAGCCGCCCTGAGTCTCCAGAGAAGGGCGGCATATAAATCAAATGAATAAAAAATAAATAAAATAGTATATATGTTATTCTATTTTTACTTTTATGGTAAGCGGAACACGGGGAGGCGAGAGAGCTGCCTTTTTCTCCCTTCCTGAATCCACATCGGTTCCCACCCACCCGGCCTTACAAGTTATCTTGACTGTAGCAAACCCGTTGGGCAAGAGCAATGCTCTTCTGCCACCGTCCAATTGTCAAACACCTTGGCTTGCAGAAAGCGATGTCCCCTTGTTCACTGGATCACAACAGGCAATGCCTACTTGCCTTCTACCCCACCCCACCGCAGGGCTGTTTTAACATATGGGTCTGATGGGCACTTGCCCGTCAGTCCCACGAACATAGGGGCCCGTACTAATCTGTGTATCTTAACCCTGTGTATCTTAACCCTTCAATATATATCTTGTATAGCAATAGCCCTTAGACTTATATACCGCTTCACAGTGCTTTCCAGGCCTCTCTAAGTGGTTTACAGTCAGCCTATTGCCCCCAACAATCTAGGTCCTCATTTTACCCACCTCGGCAGGATGGAAGGCTGAGTCAACCTTGAGCCTGGTAAGATTCAATCTGCGAAATTACAGGCAGCCGGCAGGCAGCAGAAGTGACCTGCAGTACTGCACTCTAATCACTCTGCTAATGTGAATAATGTGAATGGTATAGAATTAGCTATATGAATACTGAAGGGCCCTCTTTATTCACATTATTATAAAGAAAGAAATGTGCTTGTTCAGAGACTACACTGTCAGCTAAATTCCATTCTTGGCAACATATATCTTTTGGGGGGGGGGCTATCTGTCAAAGATGCAAGGACCATGTATAATATATGTCTTCCGAGGAAGATATCTGTCAAGGATGCAGAGACATCCATCTGAAACAAAAAAGTTAATTATTATCAAAGGAAGCCATAAATCTACGCATCAGCGGATACAGAACTAAGGAGAATTTAGCTAAAATTATCCCATGTACTATAAATTAGGGCAGCAATTTAGTAATTTAAAAAGTGTCAATTATCATGTAACGGATGTATGTTAACCATATATGGAAAACTGATGTGCCAGCAGAATCCTTTGTCTTGGATATGTATAAAAGCAGTCATATCAGGGTTCTTGTTGAGAATTGCAGATACAAATCTGGTTCTGAAACTGCGCAAATAAACTGACTCTGGCTGACCAAGGAATGTTGTTTGGTCCCATCATTCTACAACAGTGCCACCGTGGATCATACCACGTATCATATAAATAGAATAGAATTCTTTATTGGCCAAGTGTGATTGGACACACAAGGAATTTGACTTGGTGCACACGCTCTCGGTGTACATAAAAGAAAAGATACAGCAACTGTATGGCTTACTGAGTATTATTGTGTTTTTCAAGCCTCTTGTATTGTTCAAATGTTTGTTATCTTGATTAGTTGTTGCTGCACAGCATGTTTTTGGTGCAATAGGACTGGGGTTGTTAATATGATTTATTGCAGTGTTTCTCAACCTCGGCCGCTGGAAGATGTGCGGACTTCAACTCCCAGCATTGCTGGCTGGGGAATTCTGGGAGTTGAAGTCCGCACATCTTCCAGCGGCCAAGGTTGAGAAACACTGATTTATTGGGTTAGAGATTTTATGTCTTCACTGTGAGTTTTGTTGTGTTGTGTGTTTGTGGGGGTACACTGAGGGAGCTCCACCAATCTCTCATTGTATATATGTTGTGCTGTGAAAATAAAGATTTGAAAGTGAAATTTAGTGTTTCGACACCTGTTTTGTTGGAAATGCCAATAAAATAAATACATGTTTAATTTTATCGACCATTTACATTTTTATTCCTGTGAGTAGTGGTTTTAAGGGCCCCACTACACTGTTTTGCCCGGGGCCCATAATGTTGTTAAGAAGGAGGGCCCTGTCGCTTGCACACACAAGCACATGGCAGAATAAATTCATTCTCCGCTGCTTTTCCTCCGTTACGCCGTTTGCGTAACACCAACCATAAAGCCAGCCGTTTGCGATGAGAGCGTTACGGAACTTCTTTTCCTCCGCCCTGTGCTCATTGGCTGCTGCGGACGGAGTCGTCGTAGCTCCCGCCCCTCCTTCAAGGGGAATGAGGCTCCACCCCCCGCCGCCACTACGGAGTTTGCGCACAAACGGCCTGTAACGGCGGCGGCAACGGCGGCCAACAAGAGCGAAGCCGCTTCCCGGCCGCGCGCTGAGAAGGAAGAGGAGCCTGATTGGTTCCCGTCAGCCGTGACGCGGGAGCTTCGCTCTGCCGCCGAAGAGGCGCTCTTCTCGGCCTCGGGTGCTACGCGAGGCCCCGGCTTGCGGCCTCGACGGAAGGGTAAGGAGAAGAAGAAAAAAAAAAAAACTTCGTTGTGAGGGGGGAAAGGCTGGAGGCCGTTTTAACAGAGCCTGGCTGTTAGGAGAGTCGCCCTGAATGTTGAAGAGGGAAAAGAAGAGCCGAGGGCACCGTACTGAGGGAAGGATTATTCGGGGGTCTCTTTCAGCCCCTCGTGACGGGAATCTCTCCCTCCTCAGAAGTAAGACCCGGTTGTTGTTTTTTTGTTTTTGGCTCCCCACTTTGGTCCTCCCGGCGATCCAACGGGTTCCTGAGCATATGCAGAGGGCCCTCCGTGACAGCCCCCCCTCCTCCACATCCTCGGTTTGCGACAACGGGGTTGAGTGACTTTGAAGGTCTGTTTTTTTTTTTAGGAATCTGGACTTTTTTAAAAAAAAAAAGGGAAAAAAATCGGGTATTTCCAGTACATTTATTTTTAAATTTTGATAAATTTATATATTTATTTATGTATTTTCCTGGCATTGCTGGCCAAATGAAAGAGACACACACAAATAAAATGAAAATTCAAAGCAGCAGCTATTTTTCCTTTCTCCTGTCACTATGAGCAGATGAATTCCTAACTTTTGGGCTCGAAGTAACAGTAACAGAGTTGGAAGGGGCCTCGGAGGTCATCTAGCCCAACCCCCTGATGACGCAGGAGACGTGAACAGTATTTTATATATTCAAATTTTAAAATAGGTTTTAAATTGATTGGGGTTTTAATTTGTCTGGGCCAAAAACTATTTAATTTGATTTTAATTCCACTTTTAAATTGTTGTCATTTTATATTCTAGGAGCTTGCCCTGTTAGTGTTGATGGGAATTTTTTGGCTGTTAGTCTAATATTAACCTTGGTGTTAATATCTGCTCATCTGGGTGTTGATTGTTGTGGAGGTGTTTTGGTCTTTTTGTTCCTTTTTTGGCTTGTTCATTGTCTCTTTTGAATGGTATGTGCATGGTTGTGTTGTCTGGATGGCCAATTTGTCAAATAGGTAGTTAGGTATGAAGATAATATTTCCTTTTTGTATTGTATTTTGTATTTATTGCAATTTGGGGTGGGAAATTTTTTCTTTATTTTTTTGCCCATGCCCATGCTTATCTAACCCATGCCTATTTTGAATGTTTTTAATTATATGTAAATAAAGAAATGTATAAATGTCAATTCTATGCCACATTCTATGTGATATAGATGAATTAATTATGATAGGTCAAGTAAGAATACAGTTTAGTGCTACTGATGTTTTGCTAATGAGAAAATGACATCTTTTCTGTGGCATAGATTTTGAGATGTCTTGTAGTGTTCTGACATAGATTTAGAAATGTACATGATGCTTAATTAAGCAAGCGAATTCACCTCACAGGCTTCTTATGGGGAAAATAGGAGAAAGGAATGTTATTTATAGAAATAATAAAAGCAGGAAATAAATAGATAAAATAAATAAAAATAATATATTAAGTTATGTATGTAAACCGATACTATCCCCCTTTTTTGTTTTCTTTTTAATGTATTTTTCTATTTCTTTTCTGTAAAACCTGTTAAGTAGAATATTTAAATAAAAATGTGAAGAAAAAAATGTTTTGTACAAAACAAAACCACATTTTTTTTCTCTTTCCTTGTTTTGAACCAGGAAAAAAAATGTCCCTCTATGATGATCTGGGAGTAGAAACCAGTGATTCCAAAACAGAAGGCTGGTCCAAAAATTTCAAGCTTCTGCAATCTCAGCTGCAAGTGAAAAAAGCAGCTCTGACTCAAGCAAAGGTACAGTAAAAGTCCGTGGGAAAATGCTTTTTTTTTTTTTTTTTTAATTGTCAACTTGCCCAGGGAGCATCGCTGCTAAGTAAAATGCCTCATTTAGCAAAGAGGTTCGATTAAGGCACCAAGCTTGAAAGCAGGTGACTGTGAGTTCAAGTCCTGCTTTAGGCATGAAAATCAACTCGGTGACTTTGGGCCAGTCACTAGGAGACAGTGAGTTCTAGTCCCACCATAGGCATGAAAGCCGGCTGGGTGACTTTGGGCCAATCACCAGGAGACGGTGAGTTCAAGTTCTGCCTTAGCATGAAAACCAACTGGGTAACTTTGGGCCAATTACCAGGAGACGGTGAGTTCTAGTCCCACCTAAGGCATGAAAGCCGGCTGGGTGGCTTTGGGCCAATCCCCAGGAGATTGTGATTTGTAGTCTGAAAGCCAGATGGGCAACTTTGGGCCAATAGCTCTCTCAGCCCAGCCCAACCCAACCCACTTCACAGGGTTGTTATAGGGAAATTAGGAGGAGGAATATGTGTTTGATATGTTCGCTGCCATGAGTTATTTGTAAAAAATAATAAAAGTGAGACACAAATTAAATTGATAATACTTCTCATCGATGTTACCTCATTGACAAAAAATAGACATTCCAAGACATTCCTCTAGCTATACAGGTGGTCCTCAATGATCATAATATAGCCTGCCTGTTACGGTTATAAATGGGACGCAGTGGCTCAGTGGCTAAGATGCTGAGCTTGTCAATCGAAAAGTCGGCAGTTCAGCAGTTCGAATCTCTAGTGCCGCGTAACGGGGTGAGCTCCCGTTACTTGTCCCAGCTTCTGCCAAGCTAGCAGTTCGAAAGCACATAAAAAATGCAAGTAGAAAAATAGGGACCACTTTTGGTGGGAAGATAACAGTGGTCCGTGCGCCTTCGCCGTTGAGTCATGCCAGCCACATGACCACAGAGACGTCTTTGGGCAGTGCTGGCTCTTCAGCTTTGAAATGGAGATGAGCACCGCCCCCTAGAGTCGGGAACGACGAGCACATATGTGCAAGGGGAACCTTTACCTTTACAGTTATAAACCCATGTGACTGACCTGATTATATACCTTTTTTTGCAACGATCGATAAGCAAGCCCATTGTCTGCTCTGTGTTGCTTCTGTTGAAAACCAGAAGTAAATACCAATTTTGGACAAAGGTGTAAATCATGGTCATGTGGCTGCAGAACCTTGCAAATGGCCATAAATGCAGGCCTATTGCCATGTGGCTGAAATGCGGAGGCAGCCCTTGGAACTTCAGAAGAGGATCATAAATACCTTTTCGGGCAGGGGTGTCGCACTCAATTTCATTGAGGGCCGCATCAGGGTTGGGTTGGACTTGGAGCGGTGGGGGGTGTGGCCAGAGTGGGCGTGGCCAGCTCAACGTCACTTGTGTCAGTGGCGGCTGGAGCGCTCTGCCAGCAAAAACGGGCTCCCGAGCTCCGTTTCCGCCTGTGACGGCCTCTTGCAACCCTCTGCCAGCAAAAACGGAGCTCGGCAAAGACACCGCGAGCCAGTCCTTTGCTGTTTCCAGGGCAACGCAACGGGCCAGATCTAAGCACCCCTTGGGCTGGATCCAGCCCCTGGGCCTTGAGTTTGACACCCCTATTTTAGGGGATCCATCAGACTTTGATCATTAAGTAACTGTTGTAAGTCAAGGGCTGCCTATATTGACATAAGCTTTTTCATTATACGCATGTTTATTGTTGTCCATTGTTGTTCTAAAAGCATGCTAAGCGCCTGTGTCAAATCTCATTCTGACTCTTTATCTCTAAAAGTGCATCTTTTTTTAAATCTTACATTCCTTGAAATAAGTACAGATAGTCCTCGATTTACAACGGTTCATTTAGTGACCGCTCGAACAACGGCATTGAAAAAAAGTGACAGATGACCCTTCTTCACGTTGCAGCAGCCCCACGGTCACATGATCAAAATTGGGATGCTTGGCGACTGGTTCATATTTATGGTTGCAGTATGTGATCCCCTTTTGCTACATGATTAGATTAGATTAGAGTTGGAAGAGACCTTGTAGGTCATCTAGTCCAACCCCTCCCGCCCAAGCAGAAGACCCTACACCATTTCTGACAAATGGCAGTCCAGTCTCTTCTTGAAAGTCTCCAGTGATGAAGCTCCCACAACTTCCAAAGGCAACTTCTGTTCCATGGGTTAATTGTTCTCACTGTCAGGAAATTTCTCCTTATTTCCAGGTTGAATCTCTCCATGGTCAGTTTCCATCCATTATTCCTTGTCTGGCCTTTGGGTACCTTGGAGAATAGCTTGACCCCCTCCTCTCTGTGGCAGCCCCTCAAATATTGGAAGACTGCTATCATGTCTCCCCTGGTCTTTCTCTTCACTGGACTAGCCATGCCCAGTTCCTGTAACCTTCCAACAAGCAAAGTTAATGGGGAAGCCAGATTCACTTAACCATCGTGTTATGAACTGAACAATTGATGTGATTCACTTGTGTGGCAAGAAAGGTCGTAAAATGGGGCAAACTCAAATGTCTCACTTAGCAACAGAAATTTAGGGCTCAATTGTGGTCGTACGTCGAGGACTACCTGTACACCAGGCCGTTGCTGTACAGCTCAGATTGAGCACTGGGTTTTTAAAAATATACCTAGAGCATTATATTTCAGAAGCTAAAATGTTTGCTCCTTTCTCAGCATTCATAGCTAAATGGGCTCTCTTGCATCAGCCCTTGGTTCTCCAGAGCCTGTGAATTATAATTATAAGGTTATCATAATATCTTGGGGGAGCACTTTGTACTACAATTGGAAGATTTCATCACCTTCATTTGACTTTCATTATGTGAAAGACAGTCTTGAGAAGCACAAGGTCATTTTGCAGCATCCGCATCGTATAAAATGTTAAGCGTATGTTTTGAGCAGTTTTTCCATCTATGTAAGCAATGCTGGGAGTGGTTTTATTTTAAATTTAAAAATAACGGAACAAGGAAGAAATGGAAAGTCCTTCATTGGAGCAGGTTTTTCCTCAGGAATTCCGATATATTCGAATTGTTATAGAAGTTTGTGAGGGTATTTTTAAAAAAATGTACAGCCATTTTCTGTAAACATTGGTCTTTCTGTGTTAGTATAATTGAATTAATTCCTATATCTAAATAGAATATGCTGTATAGTAGCTGGAACAAGATTTCACTTACCTAAGAGGAAATGATGATTAAATGAGATTCTTAAGAGATTATCTTGTCATGTACATGTACTGAAATATACATGCAGTCTGTGTTATACTGATGTATCTTTAAATTAAAATATATTGATAAGCCTTTAAGTATCATTGTCAACGCAGTTAAATATACATGCAATCAAATTGCCTTTTTCTGGTGGTAATTGCTTAGAAGCATGTATTCTCTTGATGTTTCAGTAATAGAGCCTTTGGACCACACTTCCCATCTCCAATGTCTGTGCCGAATGGGGAAGATAGAAATTGTAATTGAAGCTATCAATCTATTTTATCTATCTTTATCTATCAATCAATCATGCAGTATTGCAGGCTGACTGCCCACAGCCAAGAGTTCGATCCTGACCAGGTCAAGGTTGACTCAGCCTTATATCCTTCAGAGGTCGGTAAAATGAGGACCCAGATTGTTGGAGGCAATAATCTGACATTTGTAAACTACTCAGAAAGTGCTGTAAAACATTGTGAAGCGGTATATAAGTCTAAGTGGTATTTCTAAATGCTATTGCTATCTGTCGATTGATCGATCTACATCTATCTATTTATTGTATCTACCTACCTACCTATCTAGTGTATGGCAAGATCTCTCCCCTCCCCCTCCTATCTATATATCCATCTATCTGTTAAATTTATTTTCTGCTGCCCTTTATAATCTCAGGTTGTGATGAGAGGAACAAAACATAGGTCATGGAATAAAATTCTTGGAAGCCGTCTGAAATGTGCGTTTGAATTTTTTGGCATTTCACTATAAAACAATATAAATCTTTATGATTTATATTGTTTTTATTTGTTTCCTAATATGATTTGATAGCTTATTAGTAACCTATGACTATCACTTACGATTCTTGATGAATGTATTTTTTTTTCTTTTTTTTCTTTCTATGTACACTGAGAGCCTATGCACCAAAGACAAATTCCTTTATGTGTCCAATCACCCTTGGCCAGTAAAGAATTCTATTCTATCTATTCTATTCTAGAGCCAGCGGTCTAAACAAAGCACAGTCCTTGCTCCCGTCATCGACCTGAAACGAGGCAGTGCTTCGGATGAGCGCCAGATAGCGGACACCCCACCCCACGTGGCGGCTGGCTTGAAGGTGAGATGAGGCTTATTAAATGGGCCAAGCAGTATTCTGACCAAGAGGCTGTCAGCCCTTTGAGGGCAACCTTCCTCTGGAGCAAAATGTCTCCCATCAGGACCAGCTAGGGCAGTGTTTCTCAATCTTGCAATGTCAAGCTGTGTCGACTTCCAACATCCAGAATTCCCCAGCCAACACAGAATTCTGAGAGTTGAAGTCCACACATATCCTCGTTTGCATACTGCCAGGAGTTTGATCCTGACTGTCTCAAAGTTGACTCAGCCTTCTTTCCTTCCGAGGTCAATAAAATGAGGGCCCAGATGGTTGAGGGCAATATGGTGACATTATAAACTGCTCAGAGAGTGCTATAAAACAGTGGCCCCCCAACCTTTTGGGCACCAGGGACCGGTTTTATGAACGGAGGTGGTTCTGTGGACCGGAGGGGACGGTTTCATGTGCTGCCTGCAACCCGCTGCCAATCCACAGACCGAGGGTTGGAGACCCCTGCTGTAAAGCACTACGGAGTGATATATAAGTCTAGTTGCTATTGATCCTGGCCTTCCCTAAGAGCTTAAAGGCCTGGCTCTGCCATTTTCACTTGCAGCTTCAACAAAGGCACTTTGTGTTGGAGGTGGTTGATTGGTTAACAACAGATCCCATCTTCCCACCATCTTCCCTCCCCTCTATCTTTTTAGCTAGCTTGATTTTATAGTATTTTATTTATATGATTATAAATTAATACAATATTACCTTTTAATATTTTAAACTGCCCATATTTACCATGCGGCAAGTGGGAAGCTAATACATTTAATTAATAAATAAATATGGGCACTTTGAAATGAATCCCGAAAAATAAACTAGCAAGTGCCATGAAAGATGAGGAACTGTCTCCTTGTAAGCAGGATGTCAATCCTTAAGCTGACCTGGCTGAAGCCATCTTGGAGCTTCAGTGTTGCCACGCTGGAGCGAGGGATAGGGAGGGGGAATTAGAGTTGTGTAGTCGAAACAAAATACTTTCCCCTGGGAACCAAGGACGTTCTCACACCTGGTCGGAAGAAAGAGGAGTGATGTCACCAGACCTGCAGACATTGCCTTGATTGGGCCATGTGACTTGATTGTTTGGATTGAGGGGAAGGAATTTTTACTTTTAAATAGGTGAAAACCAAGGGGCCTCCCAGAATTGGTTTTCACCAGGTATGTGTTCTGACCTAGGCTTCACAAAAGCACACAGCAGACTCCTTGTCCCAACAAAACCCCTTTTACTAAGCGAATGTGAATTCCTCTCATTCACATCCAGCAAAGTCCCGGCAAACAGTCTTTCCAGGATGAATTCACAACCACAGACCTTATCAGGCTTGGAGAGCTGCCAGGCCGATAGCTTCCAAAGTCAATGCTGTACAAGAAAAGACTCGGCAAGGAGTCTCTGAGAGTCACGAACAGATCTTCACACTAGTGAAATGAACTAATTGTCTCCTGCAAACTCCCCTCCCCTTTCGCTCCTCTTTATTCCCTATGGGAGGGGCCATTCACCGTCCACCAGTGCCTTTACTCCTGAATCGGCCCTTGTTCCTTAACTTCCCTTCTCCTGGTAGCTCTGCACATACACACATCAGGAACAGGCTCCAGCTGTTCTTCAGCCCCACTTATCTCCGATTCCGAAGGCAGCTGATAACTGTCAGACGGCCCTGGCTCCCTCTCTGCCTTCGACGCAGAGCACTCATCAGAGCCTTCCACAGACTCCAGGACTGGCCCATGTTCCTCTCCAACCTCCTCACTGTCCAAGTCTGCTGCCAGTTCAGCTGGCCACTGGTGGGCCACAACAATATGTGCCAATTTGATATTTCCAATAAAGCTATTCTTTGTGGAATCTACCTGCCTCGGTGTCTTGCTTGCAATGGATCTATTACTTGGAACCCCTGACATTATTATAAAATAAAATGGCTAGTTTGAACTAAACAGTTCTGACATCGGTGCAAAAGCTAACTTATTTTCAGCCTTTTCACTTGAGCACAGCTTCCATCTTATTCTGGCAAATAAACAGAACATCTCTTCTTTTTTGGGGAAGAATTGCATTGGATACGATTTGTTCTTGTGTCTTTCCATGTTTCATCCCAGGATCCTGTCCCCAGTGGCTTTTCAGCAGGAGACGTCTTGATCCCTTTAGCGGATGAGTACGATCCGATGTTCCCAAACGATTACGAGAAAGTCGTAAAACGCCAGCGAGAAGAACGGCAAAGGCAGCGCGAGCTGGAGAGGCAGAAAGAGATTGAAGAAAGGGAGAAGTGAGTCATCCCCATGGTCACGTGATCATCAAAATTTAGACACTTGGTCCTGTCAACATGTGTTGACAGCGGCAAGAATTGTATTTGCACAATATTGGAAAAATGAGGGAACTCGTACAGTTGAAAGCATAATTTAAAAAATATTAGACTGCGGAAATGGATGCGTTAACATTAAACATAAAGGATAAAGAGGATACAGAATACTTTTTAACATGGGATTTGTTTTACAAATGGTTAGATAGTAGAGGTAGAAATTAGAAGTTGGAAGAATACTACTATATACAAGTGGATATTGTTGTTGTTGTTATTGATATTACCATGTTTCCCCGAAAATAAGACCTTGTCTTATATTTTTTTGAACCCTGGAATAAGTGCTTATTTTCGGGGGAGGTCTTATTATTTTGGTGCACGTGGAGCAACATGGGACTCCTATTGCCGTCGTACCTGATTTCCACCTCTGTCTTCCTAACCCTAACCTGAGGAAATGGCGGGGACCGGCTGCACTTGTGCTTAAATATTTTTAGGGGGGGCTTATTTTAGCGCATACACTCAAAAGCCCGATTGGGTTTATTATCCGGGGAGGTCTTATTTTCAGGGAAACAGGGTATGTATAGGTAAATTGACCCAGACAATACACTGTTTATTAAGCACTCATGAATGTTAAAGAAAAATGTACAAATAAAATTTATTTTTTAAAAGTGTTTAAACACTTGGCAACAACTGACTCACCTTTATGGCGGCGATCCCCTTTTGCGACTTTCTAACGAGCAAAGTCAGTGGGGAAGTCAGATTCACTTGACAGTCGTGTGACTCACTTAACGGCAGCGATTCACTTAACAACTGGGGCAAGACAGATCGTAAAATGGGGCAAAACTCACTTAACATCTGTCTCGTTTAGCCGTGGAAATTTGAGGCTTAATTAAGGTCGTAAGCCAAGGATTGCCAATACGCGCATATAAGCAGAATTAAATTTTGAACATAAAATCCTTTTTATGAACTGGAAGTGTATTTTACTTGATTTTCATGAATGGCTAATGCAAATAGGTTATCATTTTGCTGTTTATCAGAATCTTTTGAAACACATTGGAATAAACAGTTTAAAAGTAGATAGTGGAAACGAAAAGAATTAATAGTAGAATTCCCTAAGAATTTAGCCCATGTTCAGATTTGTTCTATCCAGATTTCTTTTGGGGACAATTGTCATCTTATTTTCTGTTTCCATTTCAAGGAGGCGCAAAGACAGACACGAGGCAAGTGGATTTTCCAGACGGCCGGATCCAGATTCGGATGAAGATGAAGATTATGAGAGGGAGAGGCGGAAACGAAGTGAGAAGCTCTCTCAGTTACCAAATACCTGCATGAATCAAACCCTCTTATCTCACATAATCTGTGGGTGTCTGGTAGCACCTTCTGTGAGCAATAAATTTTATTTAAAAGGTTTTCGTAACCTGCAACATACTTTGCAGAAGACGCCTGCCTTTTAATAAAAATTTGTTAGAAAAATACTACCAGGCTCCTCTTTATTTTTGGCCACCATAAAATTGTCCTCCTAGGTCAGGAGTGTCAAACTGGATTTCTTTGAGGTCCGGATCTGCATTGTAGTTTTCCATGGGCCGGTCAAGCAGGGAGATGGGACAGCACCCTGCTGGCCAAAACGGGATGTGGGGGGGGGTGAACCCTGTTTTAGCTGGCAGGGTGCTGCAGGAGGCTGTCCAGGCCAAAAACAGGACATGGGGGGGGGGGCGGGGGCCCCCCCCCCGGCCAGTTTTGGCTGCCAGAGGCACCGTGGGCCAATCCTTCGCTATTTCCAGCCTCGCCCCACGGGCCAGATTTAAGCACCCCATGGTTTGACACCCCTGTCCTAGGTTGTCTCAAGTGGATGTAGATGAGATCTCCCCTTTACTATAGACATCTAACCCATCTACATCCACTTGAAGTAACAGGACCATCAAGCTGGAATCTCTCCTTCCTGAACCAATTTTTACTTGGTGCCTTCTCATTTATGAAAAGGTTTTGTCTGACTAAATCAGCAGCACTGCGGTGCACCAGCTTATGGGTACAATAGAAACCCAGAAAGCTGGCTTCCCTACTCTGCTCACATCAGGGATTGTCAAGCGCAAAGACTCAGGACTGTTGGTATGGTTGTAGGATAGACGTTTTATTCCAGTCTATACACAAGAATCTAAGGTTAAAGTTCCACATTAAATTGGTGCCAGATAAGGGTTAGCAGAATTCAGGAAGGACTGGAGTTGGATTGTTTGTGGCAACACAAGGATTCTAAGCTAATGACTTGTTTAACTCCGCCCCCACCAGCTCTCCCTGCTCTTCTCTTACATCGCTAATCCATTCCAAATCCGTTCTTCTTCAGCCCAATGCTTAATGGTCCATTTATGGCTACCATGAGAAGTAGCTATGATAGTCAATCATCTTAGGGGCCTGCTTGGGAATTGATCATAGAGCCATTAATGTTTGAGTGATCTAAATGTCTATGGAAGAAATTCTCATTATTCTAACTGTCTATACTTCTAATGCAACAAGTTTTGCAGCAAAAAAAACAACAATCCACAACTAAGAATTGTGGCCTTTTAAAGATGAATACATTTATTATATAATAGCTTACATAGATAATTTTATTTTTATTTTTTCTTAGGTATGGGAGGAGCTGCCATTGCGCCACCTACTTCTTTGGTTGAGAAGGACAAAGAACGTACGCATGTAGATAATTTTTCTTTAAATTGCAGATAGTCCTCGACTTACGACCATATCTCACCTCACAGTGAGATAGGCAGCAAACAAATATGAATAAATAAGTGGACCTTGGAATTTCCATCGTAAATCATGATGGTCGTAAATCGAGGCACCTACATGACTAAACGCAATTTTATGACTTGTAACCGTTCAGTCGCTAAGCCAGAACAATCTGTCGTCGTCATTTTGATTTTAAGGATCTATTTCCAAAATCATGCAATTGCTTTGGACATCTGGCTTGATTTATTGGTATTCAGCAGCGCGAATAAGCAAATTACAATGTTTCATAAATAGAGATCTTTGACTGTGGGAATGCCTGAAAAGGGATCTTTGTCTTTAATCTCAGGCTAAAAAGCAAGCGTGAAACATACCTACAGATTTGATCATTGGAAGAACACGGAGGGATGTAGGAATGAGGTAGTGGGATCCTGAAGTCAATTTTAACCGCTGTTTTCTGTTTTATAGCTCTTGAGAGACGCTTTGTTAGCTTCCAAAGACTGTGTTAGCCACAAATTAGAGCGAGACAGACAAACAGAGGGAAGGAAGGAAGGAAAAAAAGAAAGAACAAGAAAAGAAAGAAAAAGGAAGAAGCTGTGACTGATTAGATAGAGGGATTCTGTCTCATTAATAGGACAGTGATGGAGGTCCTTAAAATAAACCTACTATTTACAAGGTCAAGTAAAGCATAAGAATAGATGCTTACCGATTTTTGCCTGGATGGTAAAATGTCCCGTCTTCTTTTCCACAGCTTTATCCCCCTACGAGGAAGAGTCAAGGCCTCGTGGTTCATCATCCAAGGCTGCCATTCCTCCTCCGATGTACGATGAGCCCGAGAGACCTCGTTCCCCAACCGGGCCCAGCAATTCCTTCCTTGCAAATATGGGGTGAGCGCTGGGCAGACTTCCTGCAAAAGTCCACGAGGGGGCAGTAGCGAAAAGCATTAGCCATTGAGAATATTTTAGGAGAGGTTGGGATTCTCAACATGTGTTCGCATCAGGGCGGTTGTGTGAAGTTAAAAAGTTTGGAATCAGTGCTAACAGTGGCTTGGCCTGCTGCTATCTGAGGCAGTGTCTTGGGCAAGAGATTGGACCAAGATCAGGGGTGAAATCCAGCAAGTTCTGACAGGTTCTGGAGAACCGGTAGCGGAAATTTTGAGCAGTTTGGAGAACCAGCAAATACCATCTCTGGCTAGCCCCAGAGTGGGGAGGGAATGGGGATTTTGCAGTATCCTTGCCCCAAGAGTGGGCAGGGAATGGAGATTTTGTAGTATCCTTCCCCTGGAGTGGGGAGGGGAGGGAGATTTTGCAGTATCCTTCCCCTGGAGTGGGGAGGGAATGGGGATTTTGCAGTATCCTTCCCCCAGGAGTGGGAGGGAATGGAGATTTTGCAGTATCCTTCCCCTGGAGTGGGGAGGGAATGGGGATTTTGCAGTATCCTTCCCCTAGGAGTGGGGAGGGAATGGGGATTTTGCAGTATCCTTTCCCCAGGAGTGAGGAGGGAATGGATATCCTTCCCCCAGGAGTGGGGACGGAAAGGGGATTTTGCAGTATCCTTCCCCCAGGAGTGGAGTGGAAATGGGGATTTTGCAGTATCCTTCCCCCAGGAGTGGTTGGGAATGGGGATTTTGCAGTATCCTTCCCCCAGGAGTGGGTTGGGAATGGGGATTTTGCAGTATCCTTTCCCTGCCACGCCCACCAAGCCACACCAAACCATGCCCACAGAACCAGTAATAAAAAAAATTGAATTTCACCACTGACCAAGATAGCTGATGCAGCTAGTGCTGCTTTCAAGCCGTTAAAATATGGTGCTGCAGTTAGCTCACAGGTATGTTTTCCTTTTGTCTCGTTGCCCTCATTTCACTTGAGATCATGGCTAATTCTGGAGGAGGCACACACAGCGGCTGCTGAGCCCAGAGATGAAAATTGCATCCGGGCTATTGTGGAGGAGAAAAGTGAAAATAGCAACAAAATGAAGAAGAGATGTCGCATTTTAAACGAAGGTTTACCCTCGTTTTCCTTTTTTTTAAAGTCTTTTTAAAGAAGGAAAAGGTCCCCAAAGGAGATCACACGACCTAGGGACCCTGCAACCCTCCTAAATATGAGTCAGTTGCCAAGCAGCTGAATTTTGATCACGTGACCATGGGGCGGCTGCAACAGTTTTAAAAACGGTTACTTCTTTCAGTGCCGCTGTAAGTTGGAACAGTCGCTAGAATAACATAATTGGAAGGGACCTTGGAGGTCTTCTAGTCCAACCCTCTGCTCAAAGCAGGAGACCGTATACAATTTCAAACATATTTGTCCAATCTCTTCTTAAAAACCTCCTGTGTTGGAGCACCCACAGCTTCTGGAGGCAAGCTGTTCCCTTGATTAATTGTCCTCACTGTCAGGAAGCTTCTCCTTAGTTCTAGGTTGCTTTCTCTCCTTGATTAGTTTCCATCCACTAAATCAGAGGTCAGCAACCTGCGGCTCTGGAGCCGCATGTGGCTCTTTCATCCCTCTGCTGCGGCTCCCTGTCACCGGTCGGCTCCACAATTGATAGGGCTTTCAGTTAGGACAGGTAGAGGAACAAAGACACGGCGCTAGGAGGAGAGTCTACGGTGGCGGAACCGGACTTCCGGTCGGCTTCAGAATTGAATGGGAGGCTTCCGGTTAGGACCTTTGTGGCTCTTTAAGGTTGCCGACCGCTGCGCTAAATGAACTGTTGAAAGTCGGGGACTAGCTGCTTTTTTTTTTTTTTTTTTTAATTTGATTTATATGCTGCCCTTCTCCGGAGACTCAGGGCGGCTTACAATGTGCTCAGCAATAGTCTTCATCCTTTTGTATATTTATACAGTCAGCTTATTGCCCCCACAATCTGGGTCCTCATTTAACCTACCTTAGAAAGGATGGAAGGCTGAGTCAACCTTGAGCCTTGGCGAGATTCGAACCTGCAGTAATTGCAGGCAGCTGGTCTTAATAACCAGCTTAATAACAGGGGGCCTTAGACCACTGTACTACCAAGGCTCTTAGAGAACCATCCAATTGCGCCCACATGACTTGATTTCCCACGCCTGATGGGTCAGCTCATTCTCCCTTCTGTCTCCAGAGGCACGGTGGCGCACAAGATCATGCAGAAATACGGCTTCAGAGAAGGCCAGGGACTGGGGAAGCACGAACAGGGTCTGAGTACTGCACTCTCGGTAGAGAAAACCAGCAAGAGGGGGGGCAAAATCATCGTTGGAGACGCTGCTGATAAAGGTAAGTTAGGGAGTCCTTGTGGGGGTGGGGGTGTCTAAGGTGACCTTTTACTACAGTGTCTCCAAGGAATGTGGTTGCTAATAGGGATAAGATGCAGAGCGCTGCACCAATCTCGGCCATGTCATAATTAAAGGCTCCATCGCTTTCCTTTGCTTTAAATTCGCTTTGCGTCCACTTGTAACAGGTTTAAGCAAGCTTGATTTACTGAACTCTTTTTGTAAATTGTGTTAATTGAAAGTTCGGTGCTTGAGTGAGATTAACCTTTCTCTTTGGTCACTCTGGAAGCAGTACTGTCCTTTTTGGAGAATAAGATGCACTCCCCCCCCCCCAAGAGTGGGTGAAAATTGTGATGCATCTTATACACTGAATGTTGCTGAAGCCCTGCCGGCCGCCACCCTTCAGCCATTTTCAGTGTCCGTGCATCGCATTTTCGGCCTCCGCACACCCCATTATAGACCCGTTCCAGGCTGTGGGGATTGCCATAGTCGGGGAGCAGCAACAGCGATCTCCGCCCCCTAGAACCGGCCGAAAATGCGACGTGCGGAGGCTGAAAACAGGACGTGTATAAGGCGAAAATGCGACATGCGGAAGTGATGATTGGCAGCAATGTGCTGTGGCGATCCCCGCAGCCTCGAACAGGTGTAAAATGGAGCGTGTGAAATCCAAAAACGTGATGTGCGGAGGTCAAAAACGTGACGCGCGGAGGCAGTGATGGGCTCTGGCGATCCCCGCAACCTGGAACAGCTGATTGGTGGTATTCCAGGAGGCCGATTCAACCACCAATCAGCTGTTCATGCTAAATCAGGCTGCGATAACATGCTGAAGCTAACCAGACTGTTTGTAAGGACGCTAGCCAGATGAATACCGATGGATGCTGGTAGGCAGAGACAGATTTTTTTTTTCTTGTTTTCCTCCCCAAAAACTAATGCGCGCCTTATAGTCCGGATTGTCTTATACTCCAAAAAATACGGTAAATCTTTTGGCTTGACAATCCAGAAGGCTGCTAGCTTCATCGTATAGAAAGAAAGTTTAGTGCCTGATAAGAGGACAACAGCAGTAAAATTGGGGGCGATTCTCTCCTTCCTTTAATCCCATGAACAATTTCTTTCCGCAATTCCTGCTTTTATGGAAGGAGGAAGCCTCCACTCAGGAACCCTGGTTATTTCAGTGCTGCTAATCTCTAACATCTGCTAATTGGGTTATACAATTTCAGCTTGAGGTATCAAATCATATATTTTCCCAACTCTGAAGGACATCAGGGATTACCAGAAACAGCTGATTGTTTTCATGTGTATTCTGCCCTGCATTAAATGCTGTTACGTGTTGACATTAACTCCCTGGAAAGGAAAATGTCAGATAAAATGCAGATCAGGGTGGATAAAAATCAATGATTTTTTTAAAAAAATCAGATTTTTTTGTTTTAAATCGGATTTTTTTTTTATTTAAATCGGATTTTTTTGATTTTTATCGAATTTATTTTAATAAAAAACTTATGGGGTAAAAATCTTATCGTAAGATAAGTTTTCTATTTAAGATACATAAATAGTTTAGTTTATTCAGCATGAAATGGAGCTTAGTTATGTAGCATGAGGCTGTAGATTCTGCAACACTGGGACTATCGGTGAGTCAACAGTGGGTCAAAGGAGTAGCAGAGATGACAGTTGCTCTTTAAAAATTATGATTTAAATCGAGTTGATTTAAATCAAGCCTTTTTACTAGTGATTTAAATTGTGATTTAAATTGTGATTTAAATCAACTCGATTTAAATCAAATCCACCCTGATACAGATAGTTCATTGTTGAAAAGATGTTACATGAGTTTTTAAAATAATTGCCATCGTAGTTAAATATAACAAGATTTTTGCAAACTTAGCCTTTTTAATAAAACGAACAGCAAAGACTGTACTTATTTTGGTTGCACTGCACATATACATGTGTTCTGCACAAAATTGGTTTTAGAATGTCTTCATCTTTATAAATAATCTAGGAATCTAGCAATTTGTGCTCAAGATTTCTTTGGACTCACGGATCAGCCTTTGATAATCTAGTACTCTACAGCGTTTATCAATCTTAGTGACTTTTTAAGATGTATGGACTTCAACTCCCAGAATTCCCCCACCAGCCTGCTGGCAGGGGAATTATGGGAGTTGAAGTCCACACATCTTAAGTAATATTACATTTAATGTAAAACCATTACGGCTTTCTTTTTTTCCTCTTTGGGATAGGAGACGCATCAAAGAAATCGGATTCAAACCCTTTAACAGAAATACTGAAATGTCCAACCAAAGTTGTCTTATTGCGGGTAAGTTTCCCCTGTTTGATTCATCAGCCATCCTGAATTGGTGATTTTCAAGGTTTGGGTTGGCATTAAGCCTGGAGTTTTTAAAGAAGAGATTGGACAGTCATTTGTCTGAAATGGTATAGGGCAGGGGTGTCAAACTCTATTTCATTGAGGGTGAATCAGGGTTGTGTTTGACCTCGGAGGATTTGGGGGGGGGCTGGGAGGGAGTGGCCATAGTGGGCGTGGCCACCTCGACGTCACTTATGTCAGGAGGGCACCTGTGGTGGCTAAGTGCTAAGGCAGGACTTCCCTGAGACCCTCCCTCACTCTCATAATCTTCCTTCCTTTTCTTTTTCTTTCTTCCCCTCTTTCCTTCTTTTTCCTTTCATGCTTTCTTCCCATCTTTCCTTCTTTTTCTTTGTCGTTCCTCTTTCCTTTTCTCCTTTCCTGTCCTTTTTTTTTTTTTTTTTTTTAAATTTGATTTATATGCTGCCCTTCTCCAGAGACTCAGGGCGGTTTACAGTGCGTTAAGCAATAGCCTTCATACTTTTGTATATTTTATACAAAGTGAGCTTATTGCCCCCACAAACTGGGTCCTCATTTCACCTACCTTAGAAAGGATGGAAGGCTGAGTCAACCTTGAGCCTTGGCGAGATTCGAACTTACTTTAATTGCAGACAGCTGGTGTTAAATTACAGTGCTTAATCTGCAGAGCTATCCAGGCTCCTTCTTGCATGCTCAAATGCAAAAGGGGAAACATTTCTCCTTTTGTTTTGTTAGCCCTCTTCCAATGAAAATGGAGCCCGGGTTTTCACCGGCAGAGGGCTGCAGGAGGCCGTTGTGACCGAAAACGACACAGGAGGGCCATGCACACACACACACACATACACACACACACACACACATAATCACACTGTGCTCCATTTTCACTGGGAGGGGCACTGTGGGCCGGTCCTTTGCTGTTTCCAGGACAGCCCCATGGGCTGGATCTAAGCACCCTGCGGGCCACATCCAGCCACAGGCCTTGAGTTTGACACCCCTGGTACAGGGTTTCCTGCTTGAGCAGAGGGTTGGACTAGAAGACCTCCAAGGTCCCTTCCGACTCTTGTTATTCTGTTATTTTTAGTTTGTTTGTTTTTTTAAATTTTAAAACAAATCTTTATTCATTCTTAAAAAACATTTAAAACATACAAGTTTTTCTTAATCAAAAACAAATTTACATATACAGTACACAACTTCGTCTATTGACTAATTTCTATTATTATATATACATGTATACATACACACAGTGACTTATTTCCTTTTCTATCCATCTGACAGTGCTGTTTTTAATTGTATTGATTTCTTCTGAATTTCATCTTTACCCATTCCCCCTCCTCTGGTTTATCCACTGGTACCATCTATTCCATATTGTAAAATATTTTGAGTCTTCCTTGTCCTGTAACTCTAAAGTTTATTTGTCCATTTCTGCGCATATATAGATTTTTTGTATTAGCTCCTGGTCGGTTGGCAAACAATCTATTTTCCAGAGTTGTGCTAACGTTAGTCTAGCCGCCATAATTATGTGAAGTATTAAATATTTTATATCGTTTCTAATATTCTTTTTAATCATGCCTGATGAAAAGACTTCGTGTTCTATTTCAATTTCGTAATTGTTATTTCTACTACCCATGTTTTTATTTTGTTCCAATATTTCTTAATAGTTATTTTTAGTTTTGATTAGCTGGACGAAGTGACATTAAAACGATCCAAAAGATAAAAAGGACGTGACTGCGGATATTCCATGATGGCAAATATGTATATTTATTCTCTGAAGCTTCCAAGAGTCTTTCTGATTTGAGCAGAATAGAAATACGTTTAGTAAATAGACATTAGTGAGAAAAAAATCTCTCTGCATTTAAAGGAAAACTTTTTTTTTCAGTCCGGGAGTAAAGAAACAAAATTCACATTTCAAACATAGTCTTTTGTTGTCGTTGTTGCAGAATATGGTTGGAGCTGGGGAGGTGGACGAAGACCTTGAAGGCGAAACGAAAGAAGAATGTGAAAAATATGGCAAAGTTGGGAAGTGTGTGATTTTTGAGGTACTGACTGGCATCCCTTTCTCCCACATTTTATTTTTAAAAGCAGATTTAAAATGTCATCCTCATAATCCCTTGTGGCATGGTCTGAGCAACTGAATGGAGTGTTTACTGGCCAGATGCCTTTCCTGTCGCCAATGCAGATTTTTTTCCAGCAGATATATTCTTAGCCCAGAAATTTCTGCCTCTCTAGGATTGAACTCACAGCCTCCTGATTGTGAGACGAGAGCACCACCTCTAGGCCACCGCACCATTCCAGATTTAAAATATATACATGCCGAAAATATATTTAAAAGCAGTTCTTTGATGGCGGTTTAGAAAAATTGGACATACGGAATGGAAAGAGGAAATCCCTAGAAATAGATTCCAGGATAGCCCACCTGCATACAGCTTTATTTGGTTGTTTTATCTGGAAGATTTATACGGCCACCTCTCTTGACACGTTTCTGCCGCTCTTGGAAAACATAATATAGGGGGTGAATGAACTTGGCATCCAGTTCAAGGAGAAACAGAACTGTCAACCTTGTGCAGAGCAGCAGATAGTCAGAATCAATCTGAATGATGTAGCCTTGAAGATAATCCTGCCTCTACAATTTTCAGTATTTGCATCACCCTGCTGCCTTTTATCTCAACTGATGATCCCCCTGATGAGGGATAACTGTCCATCATGACTGCTCAGGAAGCAGAATGGGACAATTCACCACAGTCAATTCAATTTAATTATTTAAAATAAATTTTAAAAAACAATTTAAATTTTTATCATTCACATTTCATGTTGTCCCTCCTTTGGCATCCTCTCTTTAATGATTCTATTCCCCCATTTCTTCGATGTTACTGTAACTCTTGGGACGAGTTGTCCCATGGCTACCGTATTTCCCCGAAAGTAAGAGCCAGCCGGAAAATAAGACTTAACATGATTTTTCAGGATGCTCGTAATATAAGACCTATCCCCAAAAATAAGCCCCAGTTAAGATCGTCAGCCAGAGGGATACATTTACCGTATTTCCCTGAAAATAAAACCTAACCGGAAAAGAAGCCCTAATGCGTCGTTTGGAGCAAAAATTAATATAAAACCTGGACTTATTCTAGGGGAAATACGGTAGTTGGCTGTGATCAGTTGGCTGCAGTGAATTGGCCGTGGCAAATGGACTGCAATGAGTGGGCTGTGATGAGTTGTCCTAGATCCATGATGGTGAACCTATGGCACGCGTGCCTGAAGTGGCACGCCGAGCCATGTCGCCTGGCACGCGCACCGTTGCCCGTTCCTCTTCCGGGTTTCTGGCGCACATGCGCGTGGGATGATCAGCTGGCCTTTTTGCATGTGGCAGTGCCGGAAACTAGAAGAGCTGGTCTTCCATTTTCCAGTATGATCATGTGCGCCGGCCAGCTGATCGTCGCACGCGCCTGTGCGCCAGAAACCCGGAAGAGTAGCTGGCTGAAACTGGAAGTTCAGTAGCTGAAACCGGAAGTTCATTTTTGGATGCACACATGCGACCTGGGCAGTTCCACATCCTGGTCATGGCCCAGATGCATGCAAACTCCATTTTTGGCACTTGGTGCCGAAAAGGTTCACCATCACTATCCTAGATCCTCAGGAACAACACACAAAAGAAAAGCTGTTTTCTCAAAAGTCTAGAGAATTGTATTTCATACGTGGCAACTTTAAGGTGAGTAAACCTCAATTCCCAGAATTCTTCAGCCAGCATGCTGGGTGTTGGAAGTTCATTCCCCTCAAAATAGCCAAATTTGAAAAGCTCTCCTCTAGAGCTGCACCGTACTATATTTATATTTATACCTGTGTTGTAAAGGCCCTGATCTTTGCTGTTTTTTGATTCAGATTCCTGGCGCTCCTGATGATGAAGCTGTGAGAATATTTTTGGAATTCGAAAGAGTAGAATCTGCAATTAAAGGTAAATAACCACATGATCACTACTTCCTGTAAATTTCAGAAGCTGTACAGGTAATCCTTGATTTATAACGGTTCATTTAGCGAACTGTTCAAAGTTACAACAGCACCGGAAAAATGACTTATGGCCGTTTTTCCCAGTTACAACCTTTCCAGTTACGATCCCATGATCACAATTCAGATGCTTGACAACTGATTCACACTTATGACCATTGCAGTGTCCCGGGGTCACGTGATCCCTTTTTGCGACCTTCTGATGAGCAAAGTCAATGGGAAATCCAGATTCACTTAGCAACTGAGTTACTAACTTACCAACTACTGTGATTCACTTAACAACTGTGGCAAGAAAGGTCGTAAAATGGGGCAAAACTCATTTAACAAATGTCTCACTTTTAACAGCAGAAATTTCCAGCTCAATTGCGGTCGTAAGTAGAGGACTACCTGTATTTGATTGCACAAATGGGAGCGGAGATGGATGTATACCCACCGCTTTTGTATAGGAAACCCCCAATTGTAGCTAGTTTTTATCTTTTGCTCTGATAAGCTGGCTTGCGCGATATTAGTCTCTCCCATCCCATCCCATCAGCCAGATGTTCATGTTTCATCCTTCCTTATACCCTGGGAGTCCTTGACTTATCACCACAATTGGAACCAGAATGTCCATCGTAAATCGTGTCGGTCTTTAAGTCAAATCAGATTTTAACTTTACAAGAATTTTCATGGCAGTGGTTAAGCGATTCCCCAAAGGGTGTTTTTTACCAGGAAAAAAAAAAAAGGCTCACACATTGTGATCGTGTGACTGCAGGAGACTGCAGTCAGTCGAAAACGTGAGCCCATTGCCCCAGGATTGCGATGACCAAGGCCACCAAGGTGGAATAGCAATCACAAATCCAGTACAGGTTGTAAATTGCTTTTTCTGAGGCGTCGTAACTTTGAACTGTTGTTAAACGAACAGTCGTAAGTTGAGGATTACCTGTAAATATTGTCATAGTTCGTGGCAGCTGCAGGTACGCTCTGTTCTTCACTCTTCACCCACCCACCCACCCATCCCTGTTGTGGTCCCCCAGCAGCCTGCGGAGCTGGCAGTGGAGTCGGACAGTGAGGAGGCTAGGGAGGACCATGGGCCAGTCCTGGAGTCTGGGGAAGGCCTGGATGAGGGCTCTGCATCAGAGGCAGAGATGGGGCCAGGGCCATTTGGGAGTTATGTGCGGATTCTGGAGCCTCCAGAGTCAGACATCAGAGAGGCAGAGGAACGGGGAGCCTTTTCCCAGTGCGCACATGTGCAGAGCTGCCAGAAGGCAAGAACAGTTAAAACAAAAGGGATGACTCAGGAGTAAGGCTTGGAGATGATTGGCCCCTCCCATAAGGCTTAAAAGAAGAGCAAAGGCACGTGGGCCTTTGCAGGAAGCAACGTTGTAGATGGTGTCAGTTTGTACTTTGAAGCTCCGTTTTTGACTCTGTGTTTCCATCTGGCCTTGCCAAGATAATTGCCAATTAGGTCTTTGGCAGCGTGTCAAGGGAGATAAAGGTGGGTGTTTACCAGCCTTATCCGAAGAACTGTGGCAGACTTCTGTTGGACTATTTATAAACTCCTGGTGATTCAGCAAGTGCTGTGAATGAAAGGAATTCACAGCCGTTAAAATAAATAAAGGGGGGTTTGGGGACTAATTGTGTGCTTTTTACTATATCAGGAAACTTAAGTCAGAACACCTCCCAATCTTTCTCAATCTTGGCAGTTTTCAGATGGGTGGACTTTAACTCCCGGAATTCTCCAGCCAGCTGGAGAATTCTGGGAGTTGAAGTCCACCCGTCTTAAAGTGGCTACGGGTGAGAAAAATTGGCCTGCTGGGGAATTCTGGGAGTTGAAGTCCACTCATCTGAAAACTGCATGTTACCCTATTTTGACCCAGTTGGGTATTCTGCTTACCATAATTTAAAAACTGTAACTCAGTGGGGTCCTATCTTCTCATTTCTTATCTGGGAATGTGGCTAATGTTCCTATTTTCCCTGGGTTTCAGCGGTGGTTGACCTGAATGGAAGATACTTCGGAGGACGAGTGGTGAAGGCCTGTTTCTACAACCTGGATAAATTCCGAGTCTTGGACCTGGCGGAACAAGTCTGATTTTCTTTTGTCAAACCGGGACACGTGACCCTCTGGCGATCTCACAAGTTTTCAGCTGCATGTGGAGAGTAGAGGAAAGAGGCGACGTGACGTCTTTTCTAACAAACTGGAACTAATCCTTGAACGGCCTTTACTGATTCCTTGTGATGGACAGACTTTTATTTGTATTTTTATTGTAGTATAAAATTCCTGAAAGATGCCTGGTTTATTTTATTTTATTTTATTTGTTTTAAGATTTCAGCCTTTGTCTCTTGGCTATTTCCACAACCCTCTTCTGATTTGCTGATGGTAAATCTGGATATCTTTCGGGGGTTTTTTATTTCGCATCCTGTGCTTTGATTCCCTCTCCGAGTGTCTGATTTAATGGCAAACCACGATTTCCTTGATAACTCTGGTTTGCCGTTAAATCAGTAGAGAAAGTGCAATTTGTTGCCAAATCAGAAGTGATAGAAGACATTGAAAATACCGTGTTTCCCCGAAAATAAGACTCTGTCTTATATTTTTTTTGAACCCCGAAATAAGCGCTTAGCCTTATTTTCAGGGAGGTCTTATTATTTTGGGGCACGTGAGCAAGATGGGGCTCCTCTTGTTGTCTTACCTGATTTCCAGCTCTGCATTTAAATATTTTTTTGGGGGGGAGGCTTATTTTAGCTCATGCGCTCAAAAGCCTGATTGGGCTTATTATCGGGGGATGTCTTATTTTGGGGGAAACAGGGTACCGAAGACAGGAAACACAGCTTGTTCAGTTAGCCCTGAATCACGGTGTGGTGTTTTGTGTGAACCTGTTCAGATGTGGTAGCACTTGGTTGTGTGTGAGATAGGGGGACACCAGAGTAGCTAATGAACTCGATTGAAAACTAGATTCTGGATAGGCCAGTGATCCACCTTGGTGTAAAAGGTAAGTCCTTATATTCTTGGAGCCCCTGAAATAATTGAATTGTAGGACTGGAAAGGGACCTTAGAGGTCTTCTAGTCCAACCTCCTGCCCAAGGTAGGGGGCTTTATACCATCTCAGACAAATGGTTATCCAGGCTTTTCTTGAAAACCCCCAGCGATGGAGCACTCACAATTCCAGGAGGTTAATTGTTCTCACTGTCAAGAAATCTCTCCTTATGTCCAGGTTGGATCTTCCTCTGACCAGCTTCCACATATTGCTTCTTGTCCTACCCTCAAGTGCTTTGGAGAATCAATCCGTCCTCCTCTTCCCTGTGACAGCCCTTCAAATATCAAAAGATGCTATCAGGTCTCCTCCAAGCCCTCTCTATTATTAGACTTTGCTGTTCATCATAGCCTCCGAAGCCCTATAGTTTGAAGGTTCAAGAGAATTCCTAAAGAATAAGGATTTTTCTTGCTGTAGATTAGAAATAGTAAAAAAAAACCCAAAAGTCTTTTTATTTATTTATTTATTTATTTTTCAGATTTCTATACCGCCCTTCTCCTTTCGGACTCAGGGCGGTGAACAGCCAAAGTAAAACATTTGTACACAAAAGTTAAAATAGATTTAAAATAATTAAATAAAGTTTGGCCCATAATTTAAAACATTTCAATTCAAAACCAATTTCAAATTTTAAAAACCCACCATAAAATCAGGCCAGCCCGGCTAACTGAAAAAAAATAGGTTTTAAGGGCCCGACGAAAAGTCCGGAGGTCTGGGATCACTCGTATCTCTGGGGGTAGATTGTTCCGGAGGGTAGGTGCCACCACAGAGAAGGCTCTCCTCCTGGGGGTCGCCAGCTGACATTGTCTGGCCGACGGCACCCTGAGGAGGCCCTCTCTGTGGGAGCGAACTGGCCGGTGGGAGGCAATTGGTGGCAGAAGGCGGTCCCGTAAGTACCCCGGCCCTAAGCAATGGAGCGCTTTAAAGGTGGTCACCAACACCTTGAAGCGCCCCCGGAAGTCCACTGGGAGCCAATGCAGCTCGCGCAGGAGAGGAGTCACATGGGAGCGCCCCGTCGCTCCCATAATCCCCCGCGCGGCCGCATTCTGCACCAGTTGGAGCCTCCGGGTGCACCCCAAGGGGAGCCCCATGTAGAGAGCGTTACAATAGTTTTATTGTTTTTTATAGTTTTTATTTTTAAAAAAATTGACTTACGTTGTCTATCTCTATCACTTTATCACTTCGTATTCAGGAATTAATCACGAGGTATTGCATTCAGCAGTGATTTCTTGATTTATCTTTGTTTTTTCTCCTTTTGCAATTGAGTACTAGGATTTAACTTTCTTTGGGTCTGTAGCCACCTATTCATTCTAAAAGCCAACATCTGTTGTTTTTTTAAAGGAAAAGGAGACTAATATATGTTCATTAAATGTGTATGTCACCTTTCAGGAGATCAAAATGCCCTCAAATCGTTCATCGTCATAACAGCCCTGTGAAGTTAACCAGGTTCCGAACCAATGGAAAACACCTCGGGTTCCCAAAATTGCAGATGCATTTGAATCTGGTCCTCTCCAGTTCTAGTATAGCATCTTCACAGCATATTGTGTTCTTCAAATATGGGAAAGAAACTCACATTTCCCTCGTCTTTTATTAGTTTGAGCTAATTAGTATGGGCTAACATTGATAGTAACGAGCAAAGCATGAAGCTGAACCCCACCCCACCCCATTCTGAATTTTAAGGACGGTTCTCCCAAAGCAATTATCTGAAAGGTGCACCAAAAATGTGAATTGTAAATATATATAATTTTTATTAAGCTGGTCAGCATTGTTTTGACAATCCAACAAGACACATATCTCTGGTGATAAAAGAAGATTCTGTCCTTGGTTGAACTCTTTAGAAAAAAAAATTTTTTGTTCAATGACATCACATTATCTCTTAATGTGTGAGACCCATAAGGCAGGCTAAAAGGTAAAGGTAAAGGTTCCCCTCGCACATATATGCTAGTCGTTCCCGACTCTAGGGGGCGGTGTTCATCTCCGTTTCAAAGCCAAAGAGCCAGCGCTGTCTGAAGACGTCTCCGTGGTCATGTAGCCGGAATGACTAAACGCCAAAGGCGCACGGAAAGCTGTTACCTTCCCACCAAAGGTGGTCCCTATTTTTCCTACTTGCATTTTTTACCTGCTTTCGAACTGCTAGGTTGGCAGAAGCTGGGACAAGTAACGGAAGCTCACCCCGTTATGCGGCGCTAGGGATTCGAACCGCTGATGTGCCGACCTTTCGATCAACAAGCTCAGTGTCTTAGCCACTGAGCCACCGTGTCCCTATCATAAGGCAAGCTATCTTGGCGCTATTCACACAGTTAAGTCAGCCACAAGGTAGTCAACCACATTTGCAACCTGGGTTGCACAGCAAGCCAGCTTCTGTGGTTGATTAATTGTCCGGTATGTTCTGTGGATCCAGAAAACCAGAGTAATTGAGTAAATTATGATTATTTTACTCCGTAATCATTTTGCCTTAACATCCCCATTATTTCCCACACTAACCTTACGGTGGTTTTTACAGCATATAAACCCATAGTTATTAGATTCACGGTTTATTCAGTCAACTGTCAGAATTGCTATTATCCCCCATAAACAATTCACACTAGATTTGCATAATACGATAAGATTGTGATTATGTGTGGCATAGTATGCGTGTTGGTGGTAAAGGATGCCAATCTCAGAAGATTGGGGAAGAATAGAAAATCTTAACTCGCTTCTCGAGAACGAGAAATAAAATTCTGGTGATTTCAAGCCAAGCAGCATCAAAGCAAAATCTTTACTCTGGCTAAAAATCATTTTAAAAAAATAAACCCATTGGAATCAAACTTTTTACAGCAGGATTAAAAATAGTGGTGGATTGATTGTTTGGAAGGAAATGTCTTGAGAAGAAATGATTTCACACTAGCCTAGAAAAGCAATGTTTTTCAACCTTGGCAACTTTAAAGATGGGTGGACTTCAACTCCCAGGATTCCTCACGCTGGCTGGGGAATTCTGGGACTTGGAGTCTGCCCAATCTTAAAAGTTGCAGAGATGGGGAAATACTGTGCTAGAGTAACATTATGCGACTTCATCTCAGAAAGCTATGCAGGATCAAACTGGGTTAGTACTTGGATGGGAGACCACTAGTAAAAACCATTGTTCAGCTTACACAATTGTGTAGTGGAGTGCCTCACGCCTCACGCCAACTGACAATTTGTAATTCCAAACTCCAAAAAAAAAACACTGCATCGAAAAACTTCCATCCTTTTCCCATCGTAGAGTTTTTCCAAAACCAGGCAACTTTGAAGATGGGCTGGCTGGGGAATTCTGGGAGTTGAAGTCCATGCACATAAAAAGTTACCAAGTTTGAGAAAGACTGATCAGCGCAGGGAATTTCGAAGATGGTTTCCATCTCCAATGAGGTAGCCACCTGGAGGCACCCCTCCCAAGGAAACCAATTTTGGGAGACCCCAAAATTGCTAAGCATCATGGTTTGTCACACCGCCAGATGTTCAGCCTGGATTTGACATTTATATCCATCTATACAGTGGCTAAGATGCTGAGCTTGTCGATCGAAAGGTCGGCAGTTCAGTGGTTCGAATCCCTAGTGCAGCATAACGGGGTGAGCTCCCGTGACTTCTCCCAGCTTCTGCCAACCTAGCAGTTCGAAAGCACGTAAAAAATGCAAGTAGAAAAATAGGGACCACCTTTGGTGGGAAAGTAACGGCGTTCCATGCGCCTTTGGCATTGAGTCATGCTGGCCACATGACCACGGAGACGTCTTTGGACAGCGCTGGCTCTTTGGCTTTGAAACGGAGATGAGCACCGCCCCCTAGAGTCGGGAACGACTAGCATGTATGTGCGAGGGGAACCTTTACCTTTACCTTTACACAGCCCTTCCCAAAGACCTGGGATACGCAGATGTGGCTGTTTGCCGGTGTTACAGATACCTCACCAGATGTAAGCTGTTCTAGTAAAGCTGCCGTTTGCAATTGACTTAATGGTGAAATTGTCAACGCCCGACGATGTTCCAAGAGTTGAAGTCCCCAAGTATTAAAGCTGCCCCGTTTGAAGACCTCTGTTCCTAGGGAAGATCCAATTGCTTTAGGATTGCACCCAAGGCGCCCATTACTATTGGTACCACTTTTTATTACTATTGAGTTGTTTTTTTTAATTTGATTTATATGCCGCCCTTCTCCGGAGACTCAGGGCGGCTTACAGTGCGTTAAGCAATAGCCTTCATACTTTTGTATATTCATACAAAGTCAGCTTATTGCCCCCACAAACTGGGTCCTCATTT